CAAAGACGCAGCAGCTCTTCTTGTCCCTGAAGAGCTCAAAGAGTATCTTCTAGTGGAACATGAAGGACCTTTTTCTCTGATGAATGAGCCCCATCATCCTTTACAGGAAACGAAAGCGTTTTTTGCCCAGTAGCTGCCTCATTCCATTTTCAAAGGTAATGCGGCGTCAGAATTTCTTTGAAGTGCTGTCGTTTCCTAGAAAGATAAATGTGCCTTCTGATGTCCACTTTTTCAAGGCACAGATAGAGATGATCTCCCGTTTCCTATGAAGGCCTAGAGTTCTCTCATGTCTCATAGCGAAACTTAGAAACAGGAAGCTGTTCACGGTCTCGTACAAAATAGAGCAGCTGAGTCATGTCCGACTAAGAGGAGCGCCTTCATTTTCTATTCATAGGAAGAGAAAGGGGCTCACTTCTTCAAGCAGAAGAAAGCTCTTTCGTAAAGGGCAGAGGTCTCTCGTGACCATGATACGGGCGCTCTTTCTGAAAAAGATGAAACACGAGCTTGCTCGCTCCCTAGGAAGAGCGAAACGAGTTTTCGCTGTTTTGATTACGAGGAGAGGAGCTCTTTCACATGAGGTAGGTAGAGAACGTTCTCATTTCCTGCGAAGAGATATAGCGTTTTCTGGAGCCAAGCTCTATACCATGTAAAAGACAGAGATCGAGGAGCTCTACCATTTCTTTGCTAGAGGTAAAGGAGCTTTGTGAGTTTTCAAAAGGCAGAAGAGCTCCTTCGCAAGAGGCAGAGGAGCTCTGTCGTTCACTTGTTTTGAAGGGTGTTTGATTGAAGAGACACAGGGGCTTCCGGGGCCACTTCATTTTTTAAAAGATAGCAGAGCTTTCTCATAAGAGATACAAGAGCTTTTCTCTCTGAATCTCTCGTGAGACAGCTCCTATATCTCTGCTTTTCGGCGTAGGAACTGAAAGACCCTCGTCTTGTTTTAGGAAAGGAAAACGCGCCCCGAGGAGCTTTCTCATTCCTGCTTCTCCTAGAAAGGAATAGAGGAGCTCTCGCAGAAGCCTTTCCAGAGATCAAGAAGCTTTCTTATGCACTTGAGCTCTGTGATTGCCTATTGAGTGATGAGGAGCTCTTTCGTCTCAGGCAGGGGGGCCCTGCCTGTCATGTCTTGAGAATTTATAGGAGCTCTCTCCTGTTATGTTGGGAGATAGAGGGGGCTCTTCATTTCTTAGCAAATGATAGCAGAGCTACCTCTACAACATGCAGCAGCTCTTTTCTTTCCCTGAAGAGGTGCTGAAGCTCAAGCAGTAGAGGAGTGGTCATAGAGCTCCTGTATCTTTTGTGAGACAGCTCCTCTATCTTTTGGTTGATAGGAAGCTCATTCTCTTATGAGGGAGTTCGTCTATCTTCGAGCGGAACATGAAGGACCCCCACTTTCCCTGATGAAAAAGCCCCTCCATCTTTTATGGGAAATGAAAGCGCTCCTCCCACCCCCCCCCCCAACCCCTCAGTAGCTTTCTCGTTCCGTTCAAGGTAATGGGGCGTCACTGTTTCTTAGGAGCGCTGTCATTTCCTAGAAGATAGATGTGCTTTCTAATATCCACTTAAGAAGGCACAGTAGTTTCCAATTAAGGCCTAGAGAAGAAGCTGAGAAGCTGCCTCATGTGACAGGGCGAAATCTAGACACCGCTACAAAATAGAGCAGCTCTGTCACGTCCGATGGCCAGGAGCACCATTCATTTCCCGTTCATAGAAAGAGAGAGAGGGGCTCTGTCACTCCTAGAAAGAGATAGGGGAGCTCTCTCATGCAAGAGTTAAAGATACATAAAGGAGCTCTCTCATTGAAGACACATAAGGAAGTTCTCTCATTGCCTATTAATCGCTAGAGAACCTGTCCTCACTTTTCAAGTAGAAGAAAGGCTCTTTCGTAGCTCTGTCATTTCCTAAAAAAGAGTTAAGGACGGAAGCCCTCTCATGACTTGTTGACGAAAAGGATAGAAGAGCTTGCTCATTGTGCATTAGGAGGTGGCGGAGCCCTTTCATAAGAGGCAAGGGCGCTTTCTCGTTTCCGCTCATAACGTGAGGTAGAGGACCTCTGTCATTCCTATTAAGCGATAAAGGATGTCTCTCGCGACCTTCTATTTGGTAGAGACCCTCTTTTCCGAAAAAAGATAGCCGTAGAGGAGCTTGCCATGCCCCATTAAGGGCCATAGGAGTTTCCGTAGTTTTGATTACGAGGTAGAGGAGCTCTTTCGCAAGCGGTAGGTAGAGAACGATCTCATTTCTTGCAAAGAGATAGAGGAGCCTGCGAATCATAGTAGCTCCCTATTTGCTTTCAAGAGGTAAACGAGCTTTTTGAATTTACTAAGGGCAGAGGAGCTCTTTTGCAACAAACAAAGAGCTCTATCTGTCATCATTTTTATTAAGAGATAGCCGTTTCCTAGAAGATAAACGAGATTGTTCATGTCCCATTGTACAAAAGGCAGAGATACAGAAACTATCTTGCTTCTGCTGAAGACCTAGAGGACCTGTCTCATGTCTCATGAAGAAGTGAAAAAAGAGACGTGTGCATGTCTTACTAAAAGATAAAGCAGCTCTGTCATGCCCATTAAAGTTTTAAGGGCCACCTTTCATTTGCTATCGGAAATACAGCCTGGTTTCTCATGCCTACTCAGCAATAAAAGCTTTCTTCCAGCTTAGTAAGAGACAGAGGATTAAGACGATTGTGTACTTAAGTATAAAGGAAATGGCCAAATAGACCCTAAAGGTCTCGGCCACATAGATATATAGATATATAGATATATAGATATATAGATATATAGATATATAGATATATAGATATATAGATATATAGATATATAGATATACAGATATATAGATATAGATATGTGTCTAGATATAGATATAGATATATGTATATATACATACATACATACATATAAATACATATATATAAATATATATATATATATATATCAGTCCTTTCTGCATATGTATGTATATACAATTATATACACATATGCGTTGACGTATTTATTCCTGTACACTCCCCAACACTTCCGGGGGCGTCCTTGGAGACCACCTCGGAAGGCACAGGAGGGTTCAGGGCTTCGGGGGCGAAGGACGTCCATTGGCGCCAGGATCCCTTTCAGAGAAGCTCCTAAGGAAAGCACGAGGAGACCAGCGAAGTGCTCAGAGGCTCAGAATGGAGTGCCATGGGGTACTATTACTATGGGCTTGTGGGCTTACTGAGGCTCGAACGTGGTAGCCCAGGACACCATACTGGACCAGAATCATCTCTTTGCACTCCGCGCCCAGCACAAAGACATCCTGAGATCAAGAACTCTGGCACATCTACGGTCAAGAGTGCTTTGGACAGTTGAGCCACAGTTTTAGGGTTTAGGGTCGCGTCATCCTTGCAGAGACCACGAGTATAAGGGACAAGCGGGATTCAAAAAGACAAGCCGGGCCAAAAGAAAACCAAACCAAGGCAAACGCGAACACAGGGCACCAAGAATGGCACAAGATATTCATGACTCAACGGACTGCAACCGCCTTCAGCCTCAACTTGCACGGTAAACCTTAAACCCCTAGATCCTATTCATTCGAAGTATGAACGTGAGCAATCCTTATCATACTTATCATAATCAGAACAACAATGCCAACAACAATACTTAGCACGTAAGAAGCTGAATCAGACTGGTCGTAGTCATGACGAATCAGGGAGCTCCTTCAAGAACGCCCCAGCACCTGGGGCCCACCCGCCTTTGAAAACCTTTCATTCCCGACCGTACAAGGCCCCCGAGGATGGAAAAAGATAGGAGGAGTCAACAAGCCCTGATGGTTTTTGGGTGGAGGGGTTTATAGGCTCTACACTGAGGGGGGGGGGGCTTGAAGCTTAATCTCAAACTTCAAAGCCTGAACTGCTCCGCAGGGAGCCTGTGAGGAGGCAGCCGAGCGCTCCTGCATGGCCAGGTGGCACACCTGGCTTACGACTCTTGTTTTCGCTATTGTCCGAAACAGTGTGTCAACACTGAGAGGTTCCTGCGTTAAGGGTAAGCAGAGGTAGATTGATGAAACCGCGCGGCGCGTGGGCGGCGCGCCTGCTGCGGACCGCACGATTTTTTTCGAGAACCGCTCTCGCGTAGGCGCGGGCGTGGCCGGGCTCGTCCTCGAACACTATCGTCACTTTATCCGCAATACGAAGCCGTCTTCGCTTTTTGGCTTCTGGGCTCGCAATTTCGAAGCTCTCGTCCCTATCAGCTTCTTGGTCTTCATCAATCTTCATCCATTGGTGCTCTTGCGTGTCCATGGTCTCTCACTGTTTGGGGGTCTACGCTGGCATAACAACTACAAGGGAGCCTGGAGGCAGCTGAGAGCGAGTGCCGAGGGCTTACAGACTTCTCAAATAGTAAGGTCTCCAAACTTAAACTGCACCCTCCAGGCTATCGAGCTGGAGCCAGCCCCCTCTTCCCTCAACAGGGTGACTGTCAAACCCCACAACCCACTCGCTCAAATTTACACCGGCTGGGAGTACCCAAGTGATGCCCTGAAAACACAAAGGCTGTTGAACGCTTGGCCTTACGCATGAACCGGTACTCGTGGGAGTGGCCTCAGGCGATTTGGATAAGGCTTCTCGTGGGAAGCGAGTCGGGGTGTCTGCGAGGGCGTTGATGGTATTGAGATGGAAAAAAACACAAGTTCAATTCTCAAAGGTGCCACATCCTGCCACAATGACTCAGGCTCCTTGGGACCAGGGCGAACTGGCCATCCAAGCAACTTGGAAGGCTTTAGGATTGGGGGCCAGATCGCTTCCCTGACCACACACACCTGCTTAAACGCTTGCGGCGTCAAGGACAGTGACTGGATGCAATTTTCATTCGCGTTTTAGGCATCTAAATCGAAGTGCCCAAGTTGTTTTACCAAGACCAAGATTCACTTTTCTGCATCTGGACGGCAGGCCTAAACCCTCGACCCTAAAACGCTAAACCCTGAAGAAAAGCGGGCCCAGCCCAGGTGCCAAGGTGTGAATACGGAGACCCTCACCAACAGCATTCCCAGATGCTCCAGTAGGGAAAGAAGGGCGCAATGTTCAGCAGGGGCAAGAAAATCTCCTGGGGCAAGGGGCTCCAATTATGAGGATTCGATCCCTAGTTTAAACTTAGCCTCCCGCCTTTCCGACATGAGGAAAATAGGGGCTCCTATTCAAGGCAGTTGAGGGTTTTAAGGCTTGGGGCTTAGGGTTTTGCATTTAAGAGGGATGCTTTGTGGAATTCTCTGGGCGTGGGCACTCTGTGGGATTGACTGGAGTTGGGCACTCACGGGGCTGCGAACCGGGCAAGGAGTACAGAAACCCCGGGGCAACAGAACATCTGAGTGGAATTTTGCTGCTAGAAAAGGCCACATCGAGGGTGAGGAAAACCGAAAGAAAAGGCTGGCCTCCAAAAGCCAACAAGCTTCGCAAAGGCAAGACCTGAAACACCACACCGCCGTCACGTGCCTCGTGCAGCCGGCGCTTCAGCGACTCAGGGATCTCCTTGAGGAGACCCACCTGCCCAATTAGGGTTTAGGGTTTAGGGCTTAGGGCTTAGGGTTTAGGGTTTAGGGTTTAGGGTTTAGGGTTTAGGGTTTAGGGTTTAGGGTTGTGGGCTTTTCTGGGGCTTCTGGGGGCTTCTAGGTTTCAGAAGGGTCGGATCCTGTGCCTTCGGGCCTCGGGTAGATCCGGGCCCCACAGGATTCAGAGTGTGTGGCGAGTCCTACTGCTTGGCCTGCCTTGCATTCAGCTCAGAAGAACAAAGCAAACAGCACCAGAAGCCCTGATCGTCGCCTCCTCCTCCTTCAACCGCATGTCGAAGAGGCCACGCTTTCGGCACACTTCCTGCAGCGAACTTCTGCACTTCTTCAGTCCGAGGAGCCACATTAAGTTCAGAAAACAGGTCACAGAACATCATGTGCTCCGGATCCGGGTCATATGCAAGAGGGGCGCCCGGGTGATCCCCCGGTCCTGGATTTTGTTGAAGAGCTCTGCGGAGAGATTTCGCTCACTGAAGAACTGGCGGATCTTGTTTTCCTGTCTCAAAAATCAAGACACCAGTCGTGCCATGCAGGCCTTCAACTTCAACTTCACGTACTTACGGCAGAGAGCATGTGATCCTAGATCCAAGCAGGTCACAGGTGTCCTGCGTGATCTGCTGCATGCGAACTGCGCGCAGAGAATTTACAGCGCTGGTGATGGAACCTGCTGCCGCTATCTCATTGACGGGTCAAGGCCTCCTAGCGCCCGGAGATCAGCAAAACGAAGCACCAAGGACCCAAAAGCGTACGGGCACAAATGCAACCAGAAGCGTAGCGCTAGAACATGCACTTGAAGGGTCATGAAGTTTGGACGGGCGAAGGCCAAACCATGTTCGTGTCTAGTGGTCAGCTTGCAAGGAAGCCCTCACGCTTCTGATCGAATATCGAAACGGCGTGCCCTTGAAACCCTGGACCTAAACCGTACAGTCAGATCGACTATGAGCTCGAACATCCTCCCAACCAACACACTTCACATCCTTCACTTTCGGATGGCAGGGAGCTGACAAAGGATGAGAAGACTCCCATAGCCAAGAGGATCACGAAAACCGCAACCATCCTGTTCGGGTTTGACGGTTGATGTTTAGGAGTCATTTTCGGGTTCCCAAAGCCAGGCAAAATTTACAAGTCCAGAACATGACTCCGGTGAGGGCATACAGGGTTTGGGGGCTGGGTTCACCTCGTCGGTGTTGAATGGCTTCTTGACACGATGTGGGAAAGGGCAAGCTGTTCTACTATCCTTTGTGTTTGGCTTGTTGTTTTGCTGCTGAATTCTCTGACGGTGGTTTAAGGCTGTCCTCAGTCTGAACAGTATGACCCAGAATTGTTTAGGCTGTAGGCTTTGTCATTGTGATGTTGTGCGTTTTCGGGGTTGTGTTTTGTTGTGTCCTTCCTTACAAGAGTACCTCTTGCATTTCTTGCTTTGTGCGATCTCCGGGTTCGTGGCGGTCATTTGTGGCCCATGGCCCACTGGGGTTCATGGTCCCATTCTGTTCAGATACAGAGCCGTGTTCTTCTAGAATGGTCGTATGATGTCGTATGAAATGCAGGTTTGCTGCTCCGACTATCGTTTCGTGTGAGTGGCGTTAACGTGGCAATATGTATATATATATATATATATGTATAAGACAATGCTTGAGTGTAAGAATACATACATGTCTACATATCTGTATGTCTGTGATGTCGTATCTGCCATGCATGTACTGCAAGTAATGTATGTAATTTAATGCAACGTCTTTCATGTATGCAATGCATCTTCGGCATGTACTGTATGTAAGCATTCAATATACATAATGCAAATCATGAATGTAATGTTTGTACTGTATGTAAAATATGTCATGCATGTAATGTATGTTTTTATGTAATATATGTGATGTATGTAGTGTATGCAATGTATGCAATGTATGTCATGTATGTCGTGTCTGTCACACATACAACGCAACGAATGTACTACATTACGGAAATTGAATTCCGCTCAGTGTGTTTGTGATGCATGTAGTGCATGTAAACACCAAGATTCACCCAAGAAATGCTCCAAGACAACTTCCAGAGCACCCAAGCCCCACAACGATGCGCTTTGGACCGAGGTGAGGACTCGACATGCAAACCCCCAAGGGACGGCCCGAATCTCATCCTTGCCACATCTTCGCGACGCGGAGTGGCGCCAGCAGAACATGGGACGTACATGAGGAGCCTGGCTTCAACCATAAAAAAGACCTGGGCCAGAGCGCGCGAATTTGGCACGTGCCGTGCTGTGAAAACCATGCAATTTGCGATGCTTTGGACGCCGTCCGGTCATGACGCGCGAATTCGAGCGAGCTGCCAATGTGCTTTAGACACGAGTGGAAGACAGTGCCGGCTCACATGCACGCACCCATCATTTCGTCCTTCCTACTGGTACAGTACCACGCTCCTTGCCCTCCTTATTCTGTTTGGCCTTCCTCCTTTCTCCTGTCATCTGAAGTAACATGTAAGAATCTTTTGGCTCTCAGCTGAAAGGACGTGTGGAAGGTGGGGATCACTCGATCACTGAAAGACGGGCAGTCTGGTGTTCCACGTCCGCAGTCCTCTCCAGGTAGTTTGCCTTGGCTGCTGTGCCCAGCATGGAATTCCAGCAGCTCCACCCGATGTGCCCTCTGCCGCCAGCCTCCCTCTCTCAACAGACGCTACCGCGGCTACCCTGTTTCATGCAAGCCGGCTGCCGGGGCAATGTTGTTGGTCGCCGGAGTGAACTGGGTCAGACTCCAATGCATGGCCTTAAGGCGAAAAACGGTAATCAAAAAAAGGGTCCTGGTAAGACATCTAATTGCGCATCCTCATTTTCCACTTGGGAGTCAGCAGAGCCTAGACAGCAGCTGACAAACCAAGCGCAGGGCCGTAATGTAGCCCTCAGCAAAGGTTGCCTGACTCGGTGAGCACAAACCACACCAGCATGATGAGAGGTAATCCTCTCAACTAGCCGAAATTCTCCTCCCCCCCGTCCCCCCCTTCCCCCCCGGCCCCCTCCCGACCGCCCTGCCAAAACTTGCCTCATGGTATGGCTATGCAGCTATACCTGTAATGACCATTCAGGGTGGTTCTCATGTTTGGGGGTCGGGGATGGCACAGGAAATCCTGAACTCTCAAGACCGACCCGGTGTCTCCACACCATACTCCGCACAAAAGTATATGACACTGTGTCCCCCTTTGGCTTTAAACCTCCACACATACTAGAGTCATACTAGAAATCTCCTTTTAAAGGGACCCACAAAGGGGATCCCCCAATTTCGGCAACCCTCTCGCCTCTTGCATGTCGGCTACTGTGAGCCAGCTGAAGGTGTCCACATTGATGAGGCCCACTCCTTAGCAGCGTCGGGTCCAGCACCCAATCACACGGGCTAAGGGTCGGCGAAGGGTTCGAACCTCTGGGCCCTGGGCACTCGGAGGACTGCTTAATTATTTGGCTGTGTGCCTAAACCCCCGGTCGTCGCGGCCCGCGCCCGCGCCCACCTGTTACACACCTCTGTAACGCCCGGCTTGTTACAGACCTCTGTCGCGCGCACGTTCGTATCATGTATATATATATATATATGTACATATACATATTATATATATATATATATATACATACATGCACTAAAAACGGGTCTCAGGGCGCATTGGTGTAGGACGATAATGCGTCTATTTGGGGCGCACGTTGCTTATGCAGATGTCGCAATAGACTGTGTTTGGTCTGTCGCGGGGATGTAACGCACTTGTAACGGGGTATGTCGCGTGCCGGGAGGCTTCAACACAGATTTTCGGGAATTTCGGATTTCAGGCTTCGGGGGTGTCTTGCCAGAAGCCTAGAGAGTCCCCCTGTTGAGGACTGAGTGGGGTTGGCCGCGACAAGTAAGACCTGGAACTCTCACAGCTTCTTGAAACTTACGAACACTTACCCCCGATAAGCAAGACTTGGAACCACTCCACATACTCAGCCTTTAAGAGTTTAAGGGGTTTCAAATTCTGGGATACATATATTTGCTTCTTAAACTTACGAACACTTACCCCCCGATAAGCAAGACTTGGAACCTGCAGACAACAACAAACAGGTCTGTCGCAAAACCCTGGCCATTGATACATACCCTCTGTAACGGGGTATGTCGCGTGTGTGGGCCGCGGCCCTGTTACAAGCAATTCATATTGGCACGGTGTGTGGTCATGCGCAAGCCCTGAGCGAGCATGGCTGTCTGCTGTTCTGCCAGGCAGCCATACCAGCAGCAGGCAATGAAGTGGTTCACAGCCAGAACCATGCCAAATCCCGACAGGATCTGTCGCCAAGCGGGTCATCGACAAGGGTTTAGGGTTTAGGGCTTAGGGTGAAAGGGCAGTTGGAGCAAGCAAACCACACCACAACAGTCTGCCCGTCGTAGGTGGGTTACGACGCAAGAAAAAAACTGCCCGAAATCTTCAGCATCTTCTTCTGACAATCTGAACAGCAGGCCTCAAGACATATACGCTGATTTCTATGCAATCCATCCTTCAGTATCATCAGGAAGTAAAGGGAGGAGAAGCGGTTGGCCAGGATCTGCAGAACCTGGAGCACCAGGGAACACCGAGTTGCTACATTATACATTCTACACAGCAGCAAAGCAGTTGAAGAAGAAGTCTTACCCGCAGTGTCACGAATCATACACACGCATCGTAAAAGCAAACAAGGCGGCCTCTTTCAGCTTGCCGATCCGCAGCAGTCGCATGAGGCGAAGAAGCCGTAGCGAGCGCAGGAGCCGCATGGTCTTCAAGCCGCTCATCGCTTCTGCAGCAAAGAAGGGGCGTCATGTGCTGACCAGCACCCACCCCCCGACCCACTCACCTCCCCCCCACCGAACCATCAACAACAAAATATGGACCTTGCTGTAGAACAACCACGCACGTCACAGCTTACACTGAGGCTCGGTGCAGGCCTTATCACCCATTGGTGCCCTTGCCAGACAAACTGCAAGAGAGACCCCAAACAACGTACCGCCCCCGCCGCGCCGCCATTGTGTAGTTCATTCAATGCTGTCGAGTCTAAGACGCATTCTGCCAGAACGGCTTCTGGCACTCAAACATAAGAATTGCCATCTGCTGCAAACTTCGGTTTGCATGGTGCCTCCAGCAGCAATGGCCTCCAAGGTAAAAAGCGTTATGTCGATAAGCAAAAGGAGCACGTCCTTAGCCCCGCATGCTGAAACTCAAGGGCCTTCAACCTGCAATCACCCACATGCATCAAAGCGAGAAAGCTGGGCCACACGCAAGAGAGAACCAAGAACGGATGTAGGTCCGAGCGATGGCCTGCGGCAGTGAGGAGCCTTCTCATCTGCTGGTACCAACAACACGTTTGGGCGAGGGTTGGTTAGAATTTGTACCGAGCTCACCGAATGGGCATCGAACTCAAGCGTGCTCTTCAGCTATCAAACCAAGCCAAGGCACTCGTGGTCGCATCTCCAGCTGACCTGGCACGCCACACTTCTTGAGGGCACTAGGGTTAAGGGTTTGCTGCACTAAGACTACTTGCTGCCCCCGGACAATGGCAAGCTTCCACCAGCCTCATGACGCACGCCCTGTAAAGCAATGGCCTTTGACGTCCACGGCAAAGATGAAGTGCAGAAACGTGTCCGCGAAGAAGTAGCCGAAGGTGATCTTCCCCATGAGGTCCAAGAAGCCTCAAGGAGCTTCGCTGCTAGGGTTTAGGGTTTAGGTTTTAGGGTTTAGGGTTTAGGGCTTAGGGCTTAGGGCTTAGGGTTTAGGGTTTAGGGTTTAGGGTTTAGGGTTTAGGGTTTAGGGTTTAGGGTTTAGGGTTTAGGGTTTAGGGTGGACAGGCTTCCACAAACCCAGAAAACCCCAAGATCCTGGAACCTCTGAGCCTGCTCCTTATCCTCATGAGCCCTTACAACCAACACATGAAGATGGCCCCTGAACCCTAAACCCTAAACCCTAAACCCTAAACCCTGAACCCTAAACCCTAAACCCTGAACCCTAAACCCTAAACCCTGAGTCCCAAAGACCCTCGGATCCTGCCTGAGAAGCCAGGGATGTCGAAGAGGGTCATGGGGATTGTCACCTTCCACGCACTGGCTCTTGATAGGGAGCTAGGAAACCATTTAAATATAAAACGAACTCGACCCTTAATTCAGAGAGGGATGATTCAAGAATCTTCAAGAACAAGTCCAGGCAAGGAAAGGACTGGCCGACGTGGGTTTCAGAGGGTTTCATGGTAGGGGATTTAGGGGCCTTGGGGGCCTTAGGGGCCTCTAAAGAGGCTTTGAGAGTCTCAAAGTTCAGGGTTCGGATTCAGCTTGTCTTGAGGCTGGCCGCAAGGTCCCACACGATGAAGAGGAAGCCGATAAACGTCCTAGGTCATGAGACTGTTGGTTAGCAGGGAATGAGGGGAATTAGGGCCTTATGTTTATATATATATATATATATATATATATATATATAGCCTTTAAGGGTTTATTACCCTTATGGGTGTACATACGGTACCTCATTCCCCCATTCCCTACTAACCATCACCATCAGTAAGGAGACCCCTACGGACCCTCAAGACCGCGAACCAAGAAAGAGACGACAGGAGCTCTGAACGGTGTGCAGGGGAGCACCAAGATCATCCTCATCCTTCATAACACAGAGAACAAGATGAGCAGAACAGGCTGATGCCAGGAATCCATAGCACCCGTTTCGGGCTCCTTGGCTTGCAAAGGAGCTTAGGACGGTCTTTTGCGGCTGGGGGTTTGGGGGACAAAGGGCTCGGTGGCTGAGCTCAGACAAACACAAATCAACAAAAAGCATGCAGATCTGTCGCGCCTAATGAGTCGGGGTGCACCATCTACGGATGCGGAATCTGCGGTGTGTGAGTTATGCTTGCAGCCCGGCATCGAAGGCACAATGATGAGGGGTTGCAGACACGTGTTGTCCTTCACCATCTCGTTCATTCGGGCCTCTGTTTCATGCGGAGCCGTTGCTCCGCAAAAATTCCGCAAGAATCCCCGAAACCATCGCAGAGTCACTGCGGAAAGGCATCCGAAGGCTCCGGTTCTGGCAAATTCTTAGGGCGTCCGAGGCCCCATCCGACGTAGCGCGCATGGATCTCCTGCGCAGCGCGGTATGGGGAGCTTCTTTAAGTGAAGGAATGGGCTACGATGGCTCTTAGCAGTTCGACACCGTCAACTGTCCTTTTCGCTTTTCTCTGCTGTTTGTAGGAATCATGCAGCGCGCGATTCCACGTCGGAAGCCTCAGCTTTGCAAAACTTGTGCGGCTTGCACCGCCTGAGAATGAGTTTCATGGGCTTTTGCGGAGTTCTTTATGTGCATTGTATATACAACATCTCCTGTTTCGGGAAGAACCCAAAATTGACTTTCAGGTCGGCAGCATCTTGATCAAGCTTGCGAAGGCTCCCACGGACGCCTTCGGGGCAAGAAGGCCGGAGTCACGACAGTCACGGAGTCATACAGAGGTAATTCCCACCGATGTGCTGGCCTGGTGCGTCAGCGTCAACGACGGCTGCATGCCGACAGGAGCCGTATCCTCAACAGGAGAAGAAGGAAAAACTCATGGCAACGGCCACCAGAGCACGGAATCACTGTCAAACACTGCTGCAGATGGCTGTCCTCAAGCTCGTCGGTCAGCTTGAGGCTCAGCAGAAACCACCGGTCGTGAACGCTCTTGACCTGGCCGAGCAGGGCCGATTCATTGGAAGGGAAGCGAAGACTCGCAAGGGGAGACCTCGTGTGCGAAGGACTTCTCGAAGATGACATCTCCAGAGATCTCACTGCCGTCTCCATTCTCATCCCCCGCCAACACACCTGCGGGCTGTCAGAGTTTTGTTTCATTCCCCGGGCTCTGTCACATGCTCAAGGCAGCCTTGCATCGGCTTCACAAGCTTCGGGCCCATGGCCGCAGCAAGGCATGCCTGAAAGTCGGGAGAAGGCTGAGTAAGGCAGACAGCACAGGAGGAGAACCAGGTACTCAAAGGGGTCGCAGCAGAAATGAGCCAAACGACACAAAAGACACAAAAGACACACACACACACACACACACACACACACACACACACACACCTTGTCAATCGTGTCTAGCTCCTGCCAGGCATCTGAGGGTTCGGCTGTTGATGAGGACGCGCGATCCAGCTGTGAGGAGGGTGCGCGCTCGTAGCTCCGGGAAGGATCCAGGGGCAAGCCACTCCTGGACAGCACCTGCGCACCAGGCTACTTGGGCACCGAGGGCATCTCGTTACTAAAACAGCTTGAAACCTGTCCCTGCTCTTGGAGTTGCTCCACGGCTCCCGCACCTTGCGGTGCTCTGCCAACAAACGCGTGTGCAAAGCACACAGCCTAGGAGTCTGGAATTGTTCGAGGAGTGTGGTGCTGGGATCAGAGTTAGGGTTCAGAGAACTTTGTTCCTCCTAAGACCCTCCCGGCAACGTCTCGAGAGCCCCACCGGCGCTTTCCCTCCAAACCCCAATATCCCAATTTGACACTTTAAAGCTAAGCCATGCTCAGCCTCCCCAGAAGTTACCGAAACCTGGATCCACACACTGAGCCGAGGCCAAGGGGCTCGGCCGACAAGGCTGCCTTTCAGAGAGAGCAGTGATGAGCAGTGTTCTGGGGCGGGCATTCTTGGGTCTTGTACCGACAAGAGCCTACCTTTAGAGAAACAGAGGCGGCTGTTTTCGCTAACGCTAGCTCCGTCACTCTCGATTCCTACTGCACTGCTGCAGCATTAAAGAGGCTCTCGATCGACCTCCTAGATGATCGTCAGTCTAGGTAGAGGTTGCCGAACCCACGCCGCACGACCGAAACAACAGCTGCCGAGAAAGCCTCATGCGTCCATGGAAAGCCTCGACCCCTTGTCCCATTCCATCCCTACTTCTGAGGGAATACAATGAACGTGCAAAAGAATTGGGCAAGGCGAGCGAAGTACGCGCACCACGAAAAATGGGTGGCGCCAACCAAAACTCAACACCCCGCGCCTCATAATCGTCCGCCGCCGTTGCTATGGAACTCATGCTGCAGGGGGCGGCGTCCGCTCTTATTGCTGTTCACTGCTCGAGTCAAGTCCTCTCCAGGCTATGGCTAGGGCTATGGCTATGGGGTGATCAACTCATGGGAGCCTTCCCTGGACCAGCTTCTTGAACCGGTAAAGGCAACTTGAAGCCCCAAGTTCGCCCCAGGGGCCGAGCTTCTAGGCGCTGCTGCAGAGATGCGCAAACGCACGCAGTAACGCCCTGGTTGCGGCCTCGGTGGTCAATCTGTGAAACTTGCACTGGGTGCCCGCTGCCTTCAGGGTACCAGGCAGCTCTGCATACCAGGCAGCTCTGCACGAACGTTGGGTGAGACGACACGTTGTGCCCTCAGGCTTCCAACTGTGCATCTCGACCATTGCCGTCTGTGCTCATAGCCTGAGACTGGAGTCAGCATGATTATGGGGGTGTGCTGCCCATGTCGCATGTAAACATGACAACCACTATGACAACGATTGGCTTCTCGGCTTCTTTGTGCTTGCAATGCTTTTGGCCCTTTGCCTCTGGGAGCTTCTCCTCGGGCACGGAGATGCAGGCTGCATCGATGAGGCTTCCACCGTTGAGCAGGGCCTGCGTGTCCTGGAAAAACTGGGGGTGCTCCGGACATCTTCTTGCGTTTCGGGATTCGAAGAAGGCCAGGATTTTGTACGCAGAGGGGAGGGGCCCCTTGTGGGGGGCACTTCGGAGGCACCTTCAGAGGAGCACGCAAGAAGATCAAGGGTCAGATGCTGAGCAAGCCCCCCGCACTTCCAAGGGCTCCTGGTTGTTGGCAGCTGCCTGAAGAGCGGAGGAGGAGCCTCGCCCATGACGCTACTCCAGGTTGGGCACCGGATGGAAGCAAAACGACCCCAAAAATATTCCGATGTTGAGGACGTTCATTTTTAGGGTTTGCCGACCACCATGCTGCATGCAGCGAATCGAACACCCTCCCACACGCGCCTCCAGATGTCGGAATGCAGTGGTAGAAGCAGAATCGGTTTGTGGAGAGCGTGGCCGCACCTCTGGTAGCGCTGCTCAGCTAACCAGCCAAAACAGAGCCCTTCACCACTAGTAAATAAGCATCGAAGGCCTACAACCATCCATAAATATCTATGAAACCCTGAACCCATGTATAAAAGTTGAGGAGAGTCACGAGGGAAGATGGGGTCGTTCATCACCGTGCAGGTGTTCGAGCACTGGTAGGCAGCGAAGTTGTGGTCGCTCTGCGGTGCTAGGGAGCACCTGCGAGATCTTCTCAGAACCGCTTACAAAAGAGACACAATCATGAAATAGAAATATACTACAAGAAATAAACAATAAGTACTATACAAGCATAATGACACAAAGAGAAATGAAATTATATATATATATATACACACACACATATAGAAATATATATTACATACTTACATGTATATCTTTCTATGCAATGATACAATAGTATAATCACATAATGATACAATCATATAATCATGAAGTCATACAATCGCATGATCATAACAAAAGATGAGAATATAAGGAAATCAAGCGAAATCACACAGGAAAAACACCGAAAAAAAAAAATATATATATATATATATATATAATCGTAATACACTAATACATTCACATGCTGCACAATACACTTGCTTGATAGACCAAAAGCGTAGCTCAAATTAGGCCTAAGCAGCCCGACAAATGCTCCGAAGCCCCGCTTTTTGAAAATCAAGGCGCTTGTAGGCGGACTTGCTAGGATCACTGATTTCGCTCGGTCTCCTGGAAGTGGTTCCATGGCTTTGGGGATTTCGAGACTGACGGCTTTGGGCTTTGGGGCTTTGGGTTTAAGGCTCTGGGCTTGCGGTCATGCACGCCAGTGCTGACAAATCACAGAACACATCCTTTTCCGTTGGAACCGTGTCTGATCTACCAGTGTAAGCTTCTACAGTGCACCGGCGAACATACAGCTGGAGTGGATGATAGACGTAGCTGGAAACCCTGAAATCCTTGCCTGCGCTCTCGAATGCAGCAATTGCAGGTACACTCCTTTGCATTGAGGACCTGCACGAAGCAACTCCACACAATCTTACAGCATGTACCATGTCGAGGCTCATTGCAGCATATTATGGCATATGTCTCGGTATGTACACCATGAAAGCAGCATGGACACCGAAGCTACGGACAGTGGTCGAATGGAAGGCTCTCTGGCCTTGTTGTACTTTGAGAAGAAGCCCTTCACCCGTGCATGGGCAATCTCTGGCCCCACGAGGGCCAGGCACACCTCGAAAACAACAGCGCAGCCGTGGGGCAATTCTTGAGGTACGCACAAGCCGTCATGTACAGGAGTGCTGCGCAAGAAACCCAGCAATCCAATACATCCAGAACGAGCGCAGCACACGCGCAACTGCACATCACCGCCCAAGGGATAACTCTTCGACGCACAACAGGAGAACCATTGTGGCAAGCCAAGGCGCTAGAAGTAAATGTCTTATCCGCATGGCCTTGCACGAAGCCAAGCTGATATTCAGTTGTGTGACCGCGGTGCTCGTCGCACAACGACAGAACGTGTCCCCTACACGGGCGCCCCGGCTCAGGGCGGCGACGCCGCGAGCTCTCTCTGTTCGCTATCCGAAGGGTAAGCTGGGGGGTACCAGCTTGTGCCAAAAACCCAGAGGCCCAAAAGGCCAAAAACATCTTGTTGCAACATCATGTTCTTGGTGCGAACTGACCGTCCAGCTGGCCGTGACCCTGGTGCCGATCCACAATGCAACTAGAGAACCTCTTTTCATAAGCGGCTGTGAAGGTGAAACATTTTTACAACCTCAGCTCATGGGCTATCCAGAAGACGACGTGTTATTCGTGCAACCACACCTCAGTTGCCGGGATGCGAGAGAACCTGCAAGAAGCATCTGCAAACGGCTGTACAAAGACCGAGTGCACCACTGTCAAAGCCCATCTATCCTGTCTCGTAGCAACCACCTTGTTGAAGTGGCTGCAGTGATCAATGCATGAAGATCAATTTCCTCACTGTGCTGTCCACGACATTGTCTGACAAAATGAGGGCTTGCCACACAAGACTACAGGACGACTGTTTTCCGTCCACTTCACAAACTTCAAGAGTCTAGAATAGGCACACAAATGCACAATGGCACCAGACCTCGTGCTCTATCTTGTGGGAGTCGAAGAGCACCAGCCGCCTGCAAAGGGAAACCCAAGGCCGTCTCCAGTCAAAAAAGGAGCTTCTGGAACCCTGCGAAGCACTGGGGCCCCGGGCCCCCCCTTGGGTAGGACCTCTGCGATGCCGGCGGTAGAGGGCAGGGGTGGGCCCCGGAGAGGGGCCGCCGCCGCGCGGCAGCGCAGTGCACCCCCGGCCGTGCTCGGCCAGTCCTCATTCCGCATCTTTTCTCAAACTGTTCGCGCGCTTGTGCTCGTCTTGATCAGGCATTCAGATAGCAACATCAAGGGCCTCCTCCCGGAACATCTGAATCCCGAACCCCTGCTCAGCCTCCTCGTTCAGGTAGAGGATTCCAGTGATGGACCTCCGCCTTGTCTCCGCTTGGAAGATTTGCACCCAATCGCGAGAGAAGGGAATCCCAACAACACGCTCCTCCAACTATCGGCGTGCCAACGGTCACCTTCCCCAAGTGAACCAACCCGCCAAAATGCGAAGAATGTCAGAAATCACATCCCTTCAGGAGGAGGAAAAAAAAAATATATATATATATATATATATTAAAATGAAAGAGAGCCCCAGCCGTGCCTCACGGCACCCCGCTGCAGCCAAAAGTACCACCCCAAAGGTCCGAATCTGCCAGATTCCTCACCAAGCCCTGGGCCGGACGAGGGTGGCACTTGAACGTTCGAGGTTGATGTGGAAGATTGTGGAAGCATGATGCTGCTACCTTTTTGCAACGGTGCTTCCCACGACTCTCTTCCTCGCCGTCTGATATCCCCAACTTCACGTTCCCCCGGTCTACCAGGTCATCTCATCTACTTCTACTCTCCTACCTGTCCACATGTCGGATGTCATAAGTGTTGAGGCATAATTTGTTGAAACAGAAGAACAAACCCAGCTCTTGCGGATTTTCGAACTTCGAGGATGCAAATGCGCAGAAACACAGCCCCCTCAAGAATCTGAACAGAGCTGGCGTCCGTCCGTATGCCACTTGTAGAAGCCACTGCCATCCGTGTATTGAGCCTTGGAACAAGGTACTTTCGCAGAAGGACAGCAGGGCAGAAAGGACGCATCAAGTGTCCGAGCGATTGTGCTGCAAGCAGCCAGCTGAGTCCATGCAGGGACCACGAAAGTTCTTCTCCTGGATGCTTGTTGAGAGCCTCTGGGAAACGACTGCGAGACTTCGTAACGGGATGCTCCTTGAAACCCCGAGCCCCAACTCCATGGCTCCGCCTGTCTCCAGGACCAGAGCTGTCGCTCTCAGCCGTCGGTGGCAGAGCTGTAGCGCGGCTCCGCCAAGCACCTGGCCTGCCCAGAAACGCCACATGTGCACATGGTACGGCATGCTGTACCGCTCAAGCCCATGCTGCCCATGCTCTGCACGAAGTGGGCAAAGGGGGCAAAGCGGGGCAAAGCTTTGACACCTCAACCTGCCTTCGTCAGTCGGAGAAAAGGATGCAGGATCCCGAAGGTAACAAACCCGATCCGTGCCTTGGTACGTGACACAGAGAGCCCATGTCCATGCCCATGCACGCGAAAGCGGGATCTTACATGGTGACAGACGATCATGGACATGTAGCCGCATCGGGCCGCAGGGGGAACAAATTCCTGTCGAGCCGCGAACCTCTGTGTTTCCTGCCTGGACTTTGGGATTTGGAAGCAGCCCACCGGGAGTCGAAGCCTGGGCCGAATCAACTGATGCCAATGTTGCAAAGCAAAGGGCTTCCTGTTTGGCTTCTGTTGGAGCTGCGCCTGCTTTGCAAGGTCTCCAGAAAGCAGAGGGGCGACAGGTCGCTGCAGGCAGTTTCTATTGAAAAGTCGTTCTCGAATCCAAGAAAAAAGCTGATCCAAGCTGCGTCACCAATGACTGCAGCTCGCGCTGAAGGTCGGCAAGCAATGTTGCTGAGAGCACGCCATCCACTACCACAACCTTGCAAGAAGCAACTTTTGATGCAATCATCCATATGTGGAATACACAACAGTCGCTGCAAACACAGTAGCCTCTCCGCGCTCCAAATGGGTCAAGGCCGTGCCGGCCAGGTGAGCGTCCAGAAGAGGCTCAGCCTGTCGCGCAGCCTGCATAAAGAAAACAAGAGGGGGATGTTCACTTCTTGCCACACGCACTTGCACATACCCGCTGCTGAGAGTATGCGGGCACCACAGCCCTAAACCCAAAACGTCAACCCGGCTCAGGGACTGGATCCCCAGCTTCAGGAGTGCCAGGTGGACAAGAAAACCTCAAGAAGGAAGGGCACTGTGGCCTCTTCTGCGGATTGCCCATCACGAAGGAGGGGAACCCAAAGGCCGTCATAGAACGCGTGACCTGCCGTCCCCACCTGGGTTCAACGAATCGACCAAACAGCAGCACCTGTGCACCCTTGGACAACACAGTTTACAGCCCTTGACAACAGGACGCCTACAGATGGCGTCTTCTGCTTTCCGGCCCTCACAACATCTCTTGCGGCACAGCAGCCCCGGCCAAGCCCACGAAAGGCAGCACAGCCCTCAGCGCAGAAGGCCATTCCGCCGTCTTGGCAGCCTCCTCCTGCACCCCATCAATTACACCACATGTGCGCTGCGGCAGCGTGGAACACCCAAAAGCCCCCGAGATGTGGCGGTATCTTTCGACATCTTCCCACTCCGTGCCTTAGCCTGCGCGAGGCGTGCCAAGCCTGAAGCAAGCCTGCGCTCCAGAAACAAGCAAACGCGTGGCCACTCAACTACTCAGCCACGACTCCCTGCGTACGGAACCACTCACGGCACTACTCCTGGCACATCCTGGCACTATGCACTACTCATGTAGTTGAGCTGGAACTTGCAGGCTTCAGGTTAAGAGCAACCTCCGCGCACTGGCGAGTTGCAGACATCGAGAGCGCAGGGGATGCATGGCATCGGTTGAGGAATGAACTGGGGTTTTGCGGGGGTGCATGGCACTAATTTCACACTGTTCACGTGATGATTCTGAAACATGGCAGCTCACAAATTGCAAGCTCACAACACAAGCAAGCTTCGATCCCAGCGTACAGCGAAAAGCTGATCATGTTTGCACTATGGTGCCCTATCTTAAAACTGCGATGCCCCGGGCGTAATTTCAGCCCAACGAGAACCAAAGCGCCGCGGCACATGGCTTCGTTAACGTGCGCGCGGCTTCTTTCTCTACAGGCCTTGAACGGTTGGATGCTCCTGAGGCTGGGAGTTGCCAAACAAATGTGCACAGCACTTCGGCATTGAAAACTTGTGCTGGCCGCATGATACTTAAGGCAGGAAATATGACAACAAACCGAGGCCTTGCTGCAAGAATCTGCAACTGGTCTAGACGAGGGTTTCCACAACCGGAAACTCTCAAACCCACGGGTAGCTACTTCCATTGGGGTTTGAGCTGAGTGCGACCGATTTGCGCTTCGAAGAACGCGCATCTGGGAACCTGACTGCAACTATCTCGACCTTCTACCGCGCATGGGCATAACAAGTGATTTGAGCCCCAAATCAGTTCCGAGCCATTTACAAGTTACCGACATCAATCACTTCCTTTCCACGTTTTTCCCCCTCAGCGTCGCGACATGTGAGCCGTCCAGAAAACTTTGCACGCGGAGCGCCATGAAATCTAAGACATGGCTTTCCCGAAAGCTTGAGGCTGATAACCTTGATGCTGACAGGCCATGTGCCCTGTCGCAAAGATGTGAAAGCTCTCCACGCAAACTGGTCTTCGACGCCATGGGATTAAATCAAGCGACTCCCTCCGCAGCCCGAAACAGACCTGCTGATGGACGCTGTGACTGTTACCCGTCGGCCCTATGAACAGTGCCCTCGAGGCGCCAGAAATGAAACGGGAACCTTTGCAACTGAGAGTTGGTGAGCTTCACGTCGAAGTCACGGAGGAAGTGAAGGAGGAAGACCAACAACTCGTCCCGGGCGAACTTGTATCCTCAGAACTCTGCACACACAAGGCGCAGATGGATTCATATTGGTCTTTGGGCTTTGGGCTACAAGACACCTACCAAATGAGCCCCCACGGGGCAGCAGCTTTGGTTTCAACAGCACACTCAGCCAGCCCACTTGTAATAGAGAGATGCTGCGAGTTCTGAACGTGCCACCCAATTCCAACAAACCGTGAGCTTCGTCCGAATCCAATCCAAGAGTCCGATGCACATCCGGTTACCCCCACCAAAGGAGGCGAAGTAAGTGGGATCGAAGGTGCTATCGATGAACTTACCATCACGCAGATGACGCTGGATGAGAAAAGACTTGCAGTCCTCCGCCTTGCTGTGTCTTCCAGCAGGTGCATAAAGTAATGTCCAACCTTTCGGCACCACATAGCCGTCTACCTCCGTGTCTTCACGCAACTTTCGGCTAGTCACTTGAACCGGCGGCGTCATTCGCCAGACTTCCTGCAAAAAGGCGCGGGTCTGGTGGGCAGAGTCCAAGATTCGTCGGGTGACCCGGCTCTCGCCATCCCAAACTTCGCGCACCTCCTGCACATGTCTCTTCAGACACGATCCTACCTTGATCCTAGCAGCCCCTGCCTGACTAGGGGTGTGTTCCTAGGGGGTTAGTGATAGTGGCTTTTTTGGGTTAGTGGGTTTACGGTGATTTGGGCTTAAACCTGTCCGCCTGCCGCAAAAGGGCCTCCACACTGGGAAGTTCCTTCAACCAGTAAAGGCAGCTTTGAATGGAGCAGAGGGTCGTGTCGTGGCCTGCAAACATCATCGCCACGCAGAAGTCTGAGAGCTCGTCTTCGCCGTTCATCTCATCTGCCTGCCTCGGTTTTGCTGAGCCTCCGCATGACGCGGGCCTGTGCCACTAGACTCAATCAAGTAAGCTCAGGGATAAACCTCCGCAAATCCCCTGAAAACCTCCATGAAACCCTCTTGGCACAAAATCATTCGAAGCATCCAGGCCACAGCATCGTGTCCAACATGGTGTTGATTTGAAACATCCGGCATGGATCCTTGAGTTTCTTGCGCTTCTTCTCAATGAGATCTTGGAATTCTTGGACCAGCGCTTCCCGGGCCTTCATGCATTGATGGAACGGGAATCCAGGGATGTCCAATGGTAAGACATAACCCAAACCTTTGAAGGTCTCTTCGAAGAGCTGCATGAAACGATCGCTTTTGGGCCCACCGTTCTCAACTCCCAGAATCACAGCCTCACCGCACTCAAAAGCGTATTTCTTGATCTCCAGATGCAGATCCCTCGATGTACGACCTTCGACGTCCAGCCAAAGCTGCAAATGCTTGGCAGACAACCTCTGCAGGCATGGCAAATAGGAATCAAGCTGTCGGTCGACAAATGCCCGTGAGCTAAGGGTACGAATCGTCTTGTGGAGCGGGTCATTCACCATGGGGAGGGACTTCAGGCCAACTAGCTTTCGGAAGTGTAACGGCCAGGCCAGGTTCTTCTCGGAGAATAAAAGCTTGGTGTTGGCGTCAGTGACTGCCAGAATCACAGTTGGCGAAAACAGCAAGTGTGAGCTGCAAGTGCCACCGTATTGTGATAGCTTGCCCTGGCGCGCGCAAAGCTTACAGGATGGCTGCGAAAATGTTTTCGGCTAGATTCGACTTTGAACATGTTTCTTGCCCATTTGAACACATGCTACCCTCCCTCCTCAATGAAGCCCAGCGGATCTCGGATGTAAGCCAAAGTCTCTCCCAGCAATGGCAATGACCAAGAGCTGCCGGGCGGGAGGCGCCGCCAACGCCGCCGTCGCCACAACAACCAAGCTGATACTCCGGCAGCCACGATGGCAGCTAGCAAGCTTTTCTGGGACGTTTGCGGCTCCATCCGCTGGGTAGCAACGGTGCAGAAACGGACTCTTGCCGTGGGGAGGCTCCGTACCCACTTGGACGAAAGCCTGAAAAAGTGTTCCGGAAAAAAAAGCTTGATCCGCCACACCACATAGCTCGAGTGCCGAACTGGGCATCTTGAATTTCATCCGCATCTGCACCTGGTTAACATATGGGAAGGATTACCGCGAGTCCGGTTGTGGAGAGCGAGAAGGCAACATCAAAACATGACTTTCATTGCCTTGAGGGTGACCCCACGCTTCCCCGCACCCCAATGTCAAGTGTCGGTGCCATGGATTGCCGTGGTGTATGAAACTGGTGGTCTGCTCAGTAACCCCCATCTCTGACATGTCCCTCGGCACGATTTGGCTCCGCGGTGTTAACCGAAACTGAGACGTTGGGGCTTCAACTTTCAATTACGGATCGGCTTGAAATTCAGCATTGCCACCAAACCCGCAACACCCTCTTCGGCCTGCGAAGAGCCACTACGACTGGAAACCGGACAACCCTTGCAGCAATTCCGCATCCTGAAGGTCACTCCCCTAACCTCTTCTGCGCTTGCCCCGATGGGGACGCCCTGTGTACACTGCTCCATCGCGTTTTTCAGCCTCTTGTGGTGCTTCGGCGTACTGTCTCTGGAAATCCGGCGTTTGCCTGGATGCCCCGGTCTCACACAGAACTCCTTTCGCGCACACAGTAGGGTTTACAAAAACACAAACACACACACTCACACACACACACACACACTCACACACACTCACACACACTCACACACACTCTCACACACACTCTACAAAACACCTTTCGTTGAGGTTGGACACCCCAAAGCTTGCAGAACACCCTTGGTTTTGAGGTTGAAGAAACACCAAGGTTTTCGTCTCTGAGGTTAAGGACTCACCAGGGTTTGCAGAAAAACTTTCGTTGTGAGGTTGAGGACACCCCCGGGTTTACAATCAACCTGCCATGTTGAAATGGATGAAACGGCTTAAATGGCTGAAATCGTGGAAATGGAGGAATCCTCACCCCACCTCCCCGAGATCCCATGATCATCCACAAAGACGATGAAGATTGCGCAAACAAAGTGTTGCGCATTTCAGGTCTGTACAGAGCCACAATCAATCAGGCGTCGCGAAAACATTACACCCTGCCACACCGGGCGGCGCGATTATATCCCATGCCCTGTTAAATCCTTTCTCACAAATTACGCCAGGCATGCCCAAGATCAACGTTTACAAAAGCAGCGCAGGGGAGGGCAGGGCGGGGCGGGGAGCGGAGGAGAGCCTATATGAAACGAACAAAAGTTAGCCATTTTGTTAACCTTGTTTGTGCTATCAAACGGCCTATTTGAAACAAGCAACAATAAACATCTTGTTAACCTCAGTTGTTGTCTTGAGCAAGGACTATTGGAACGAACAACAAACAAGTCCAACATTGCTCATCATAAGAGTACACACGTCAATATTAAAGTCAATCTTGATTTTACTATGACTATGAATATAAATAGTTGAACATGAAACACAATTAATATTCGTGTTATAACGTCCGATACGGTTGCATGATACAAAAAAACGATCTGTTACAGGACTTGTTTCTTTGCCTTTGTCTGGTTAGGTGTTTGTTTGACTGACAAGACAGGAGCCGATCTGTTACGGAACTTTGATTTTTTTCTGTTTAGAGCTTGGTTTCTTTGTTTTGGTATTTTTGCTTTTGGGGGTTGGTTGAAGACATAAGCCGATCTGCTACGGAACTTCTTTCTGCACCCTTTCCCTTTTTATGTTTGGTTGAGGGCTTAGGCTTTGGGGTTTAGGGTTTAGAAATTAGGGTTAGGGCGCTGGGTTTAGGAGTTTGGGGTTTAGGGTTCAGGGCAGAGCTCACGGGGTCAAAAAGGTTGGTTGAGAGTCGTCGCCACATTAGGGGGAAAACCCATGACCAAATAACAGAGCATACTCAGAACTGCCACAAAGGCAGCAGTAGAGTCAATAGAGGCATTGATCTGTCCCAATGAGGCGTAAGTCGCCGCAGATGCAGCATACGCCAGGACACGCCAGGTGATTCCACACGCATCGCCACCCTGGACTTCAGCAAATGCACGTAGTGAAATTTGTCGCTGTTGCAGGTCCAGGGCAAGGCCATCCACCAACTACCAGAGCTAGCTTGCACGGCCGAAGGCCCTAGGCTAACGTGTCCAGATGTGAAGAATGGAAGCAAATGCAAACTGAGAAGCTATGTATTGTGTGAAGTCGACCCAGACCTTTGTGAAAGCACAAAAGAAAGCTTCACGCATGCTGCGGCTGCATGAAGAAGCGATGCCTGCTGAGCAGAGTGGCTGCTATGCAAAACATAAGCATGGATTCTGTTAAAGCATACATAAGTTTGGTAAACAGGGTTGAGTAAAACACAACTACCGCCGTTGAGGGACTAAAGCTTTACGGTAGGGTCTATACCCGTCTCATATAGAGTCAGATAGAGCCAGGGGTATAGTTTTGAGAGCACCGCAAAAGGGCTCCAACGCTTTCTGACTGCAAAAGGGCTCCAACGCTTTCTGACTGCTTGTTGCATGCAACGAGTGAAGTCTTGTAGCGGCTCAAACAAGTGGTTCGCGCATCAAAGCACCTGCATAAGCACTATTTTGGACACAGTCACACATCCTTGGCTCGATTCAGCTGAAGGTGCTTTGTCACATTAAGCCCCCATTTGGACGCCTCCAGCCGACCAGCCATGTCAAGGTATAAGGAAAAACCTATACAGTTTCTACAGTACGCATGTGTTGACTCGGCGAACGCACGCACTTTGCGAGGAACGTGTCCCAGCAATGGCAGCCTGGCAGCCTTGGGCTAGCAGGCGCGAAGCCGTTGCATGTCAACGCTCAATTCCCACCCATCTTAATCTTGTCCATTGCCGTGAACAAGCTCGGACATATGTTCAGGGTGCAAGAGGCGCTGTGGCATTTGACTTGCTTCCGCAGGTTTTCGTGAGTCTGCTCCAATGATTTTGCATCCAGCATTGCACAAAGGCACATCACGTGAATCACCTCGGTCTCCTTCTTTCCATGGGGATTGTTGGCATGCACGCACCGTTTATACGCTGCACTTGCAAGTCCGGCACCAAGGGGGCTTCCTTGGAAAACAGCCATGTTGTTGCCAGAAAACTCACGAAAGTCTCGGTGAGTGAACTTGTCCTGACCTCCCAAATCTTGGCTTTCATCACGGCTTCCAAGTTCCTTTTCATGGCTGCCATGGCTCATTGCCGCCAGCAAGCTGGGACACACCTGGAGAATACAGTCGGAGCCACCTTGGACATCGTGCTCGAATTTTGTGCACTCTTCCTGCTTTCGAATGTTGCCAGAAAACTCCTTGGCCGATTTCGCATCCAGCGCAGCACAGCGGCAAACGTGTGTGACCACATGAGTCTCAATCTTGCCGGAGGGGTCATTGTCGGCCACACATTTGCGATAAAGTGCCTTAGCGAGCCCCTCGCCCATCGGGCTGTTTTGGAACACGCCCTTGTCGTCGCCGGACGCGCCTGGAAGGAATGACTGACCTCCATCCGTAGTACGTTGGCTTGTGTCGTGGCTGTCGGTGCTTGTGTCGTGGCTGTCCTGGCTCGTGTGTGTGTCATGTCTGTCCCGGCTGCTGTCGTGGCTGTCGTGGCTTGCAGAAGCCCCCGTTTGCGAAACCGAGATGATAGACAACGACTTCGGCATCTTCGGAAGGAAGTCACGCAAGCTCCACATGTTTTGTATCTTGAAGGAATTCACTTCTTGGACCTGGCCTTCAGCATGTGGCACTGCGCCGCGCAGCAGCAGCACCGTTGCTGCCACCAGGAGGGCGCCCACGAGCAACAATGCACCTTTTCGCTTAAGGCTGGCCCTGTCTGCATCTTCACCTTCGTTCTCCTTGAGTTCGCGAAGCAGCTGTCGGTTGTCCTCAATGTCGAGCCCTGCTTCGCCGTGCACCATGGTTGCAATTGCAACGGGTCTGGCAATCAAGAAACAGTTGAGGGCAAGAGCCAAAAGCACTGTCAACCGAGCGACGACAAATTACAGCGGCGGTTACATGAATACTTCGCGTGTTCCAAGCAACGCACAACCCACCAGCAGGAACATGACCACCCGACTCTCAATCTTGCCAGAGGGGTCATTGTCGGCCACACATTGCGACAAAACGCGTTCGCAAACCCCTCGTCCGGGGTGTCTCGTGTGTGTGTGTGTGTGTGTGTGTGTGTGTGTGGGTGGGTGTGTTGGTGTGTGTTGGTGTGTGTTGGTGTGTGTTGGTGTGTGTTGGTGTGTGTTGGTGTGTGTTGGTGTGTGTTGGTGTGTGTTGGTGTGTGTTGGTGTGTGTTGGTGTGTGTTTGGTGTGTGTTGGTGTGTGTTTGGTGTGTGTTTGGTGTGTGTTGGTGTGTGTTGGTGTGTGTTGGTGTGTGTTTGGTGTGTGTTGGGTGTGTGTTGGGTGTGTGTTGGGTGTGTGTTGGGTGTGTGTTGGTGTGTGTTGGTGTGTGTTGGTGTGTGTTGGGTGTGTGTTGGTGTGTGTTGGTGTGTGTTGGTGTGTGTTGGTGTGTGTTGGTGTGTGTTGGTGTGTGTTGGTGTGTGTTGGTGTGTGTTGGTGTGTGTTGGTGTGTGTTGGTGTGTGTTGGTGTGTGTTGGTGTGTGTTGTGTGTGTGTTGGTGTGTGTTGGTGTGTGTTGGTGTGTGTTGGTGTGTGTTGGGTGTGTGGTGTGTGTGTGTGTGGTGTGTGTTGGTGTGTTGGTGTGTGTGGTGTGTGTGTGTGTTGGTGTGTGTTGGTGTGTGTTGGGTGTGTGTTGGTGTGTGTGTTGGGTGTGTGTTGGTGTGTGTGTTGGTGTGTGTGTTGGTGTGTGTGTTGGTGTGTGTTGGTGTGTGTTGGTGTGTGTTGGTGTGTGTTGGCGTGTGTTGTGTGTGTGTTGGTGTGTGTTGGTGTGTGTTGGTGTGTGTTGGTGTGTGTTGGTGTGTGTTGTGTTGTGGTGTGTGGTTGGTGTGTTGGTG